AGGGTCTTCAAGCCCCTTCCAGGGCGGTTGAATGTACGGCCGTGAAGAAGCCACGAATCGCCTCCCCGCATTCTGGGAAGTTCGTCGCCTGTGTGTGTGAAAGATCTCAACGGCACGAGGACTAGGGCAATTGCAACGAAGGAATTCACATCAAGTTTGATTTATATCAACATCCGACTGGGAGATCGACGTCGATAACCTTATTTCCCCGGACTTGAGTCTCATACCGTCAGAAGTCCGAGGTGGAGGCGGAGGGATGTGTATGGCATCCCGCGGGCAATGGATTGGGAAATTAGGTCAGTCGGTGGCTAGGCCTTCGTCAAACGTTCGACCGGGGAATAGGATTCTCCTGTGGTTTATGGCTATTGAGAAAAGTGAGAAGAACACGTTAGTTCTCGTAGAAACAGTATGGCTGTGAGCGCATGCAGGCCAGCGACAGAAAGCAGCTTCCTCGAAGAAATCGGGTCCCAGTCTCAAAAGCTTGACGGTAGAGCCTTCACCCAATGAAAGCGTGACATTTGTCTGAGCCAAAAATCTTCGCGACGAACTTGTTGAGTACTTTGTAGGTTCCGCCGTGTAAGGGCATTGAGTCGGCCATTATAAAGCGGTCGCCCACCGACGTTCCATCCTTACAGCCAGAGCATAGAAGTGTATACCAGAGATTAAACGATAGAGGTAATTTCACGAAGACAGGAACGACGGTAGGCCTGAGTCCAGATTCAAAAGGCTTCTGAATCCAACGAGTGCACTTGCGAAGTCCATGGCTCGCAAGGCAACAATGTACACCGTTGCGGCAAACTAGGACATGAATGTTTCAGTATCCAAATTATACTTTCTTGAGTGCACATGCATGTACAGTAGCGCTTGAGATGTGTGCTTCGAAAAGCTGATTTGGGGACGATGAGATTGGCCAAGGTAGACCAAGGTCAAGTTCAAGGAGATGAGGACTGTGGGTATCGGTCCGGAATCCGGTTACTGTCTTGTTTCTTGTTTCCCACCATGTATGCCATCATGATTTTGAGGCAGTCTCCCCCATGGTTTCCCCAGAAATTGTCCCTTGGTCACGACGTGCGGCGATGGTTCTCGACCATTCCCGTATATTCTCTTCGCGAATCCTTAGGCACATACTCAGAATGGGAGAAAAGACATACAAGCTCAACTGTGCTGCCAAATGACAGAAATTTCCGAGAAGGTCACTTTACCTGCGACTGTTTGAGTTGTGAATTAGGTGCGTTGCTAGCGTGACCAAAAGGAGCGGAATAACCAGACATTTTTCTTCAGTCACTTCCACAACCTATTCTTCAATCCACGAGCTCTACTTCAGTCGAATATTTGGCACACATGCTCATGACATACTAGTCTGGGATCTGAAGTAGCGACAGTTCAGCGCGCCAACGAATGATACCGGTGCTCTCTTCAAACTGATTATGAGCACTATTAAAGTGCTCTCAATCACCACTCCAGGAGGAAGAGGAGTCGTATGAGAGAGATGGTCGAATGTCGCATGCGAATGTGAGCAGGTAGCGTACGCGTCGCTCGTCCTTAAGTCTCCCTCTCAAGATTGAAACTCGAGTGTGCAGGACATGGCTTCCGGTTCCGGGTCATATTCAACACGGCTCGCCAATACAGGCCGGAAGATGAGGTGTCCCATTCTGTCTCATTATCTACCACTAAAGTTACATGGGCAGGTGACCCGGGTTTACATTCCGAAGTATTGTCGACACTTCAGTGATCTGTGGTGAACCTGAACTGAGCAGTAGCCTACAGCGGCCTGCGGTGGGCCGTTGTTTGAACATTTATTGGTCAAGACAGGTCAAGACTTGTTATAGATCCTTATAGATCCTAACACAGAACCCCAGATGATCGTACGTCCATCGAAAAGCGCCGTCCTGGGCCCTCCCACGGAAGGATATCATTCCGGGGTATTTTCATCATGCGGTCCCCACACTTTCCCCTCCCGGAACTTTACACACCCGTATACCCGACCTCAATTTCCGCTGAAAGCTTTATATTACGGGTGTGCGAGCCAGGCCTGGGATATCATTTCTGGCATTTTCACTATGTCGAACCACGACCAACTCGTCCTATCGACAATCCGTTGTCTCACAGCTGACCTCGTTCAGCAATTCAAGGGTGGCCACCCAGGTACTGCTATGGGTGCTGCGTACGTTCTCTTCATTCCTCAGTTCATCGAAACACTACTTACGCCGGTATACGCAGTCCCATTGGTCTATCTTTGTGGCGCGACGTCATGCGCTACAATCCCAAAGACCCCCTATGGTTTAACCGCGATCGCTTCGTCCTCTCCGCCGGGCATGCCTGTCTCCTCCAATACATCTATCTTCACTTCACCGGCTACCCTATCTGGACACTCGATGAGCTCAAGAGATACCACTCAAACGACTTCAAGACATCACGCGCCGCTGGTCACCCAGAGATCGAGCACGACGTCGGAATTGAAGTCACCACAGGTCCCCTCGGGCAAGGATTAGCCAACTCTGTAGGAATGGCGATGGCAGGGAAGCAGTTGCATGCACAGTACTGTGATGGGAAAGAAAGCTTCGAAAGCCTGGTGGATAGTACGATCTGGTGTTTTACGGGGGATGGATGTATCCAGGAAGGTGTTGGACAAGAGGGTAAGCACACAACTCTCCACTCAAATGCGATTCGTGACGCTCATTGAAATACGCTATACTAGCTATCTCTGTCGCGGGCCACCTCGCTCTCGACAACCTTGTCCTTATCTACGACAAAAACAAAGTCACTGTCGACGGTACCGTTGATGACTGTTTTACCGAGGATGTCCCTCTCCGGTTTAAGGCGGCGAACTGGAACGTTCTTCATGTTCAGCAGCCTTCAGAGTTCTCCAACCCGACAGACCACGTTAACGCGATCACCCAAACCCTCCTCAAAGCGAAGTCGCACAAAGGTCAGCCCACCATTGTGATCATCCCTACAACCATCGGCTTTGGGAGCATGAGGCAGGGAGAGCCGAGTACGCACGGTGCTGCGCTTGGGGAGGAGGATGTCAGGCATGTCAAGAAGCAACTTGCATTCAATCCAGACGAGAAATTCGTTGTACCGCAAGAAGTCTACTCTGTCTTTGAAGACGTTCCCGCTCGTGGTGCCAAGCAGCAAGAAGAGTGGACGGCGTTGCTGAAGAAGTATGGGGAGAAATACCCCAAGGAGTTCGACGAGCTGAAGCGACGACTGAGGGGCGAGCTACCAGAGGGGTGGCAAGCAAGGCTCCCATCGAAGGAAGGTCTGCCTAGCGCTGCTCAACCCACGAGGAAGAGTTCTGGTATCGTTGTTAAGGCTCTCGCGCCGGAGGCAAAGGACTTTGTGGTCGGGAGTGCAGATCTGAAGGACAGTACATTTGTCAGTTGGCCTGGCATGGAAGAGTTCCAGAATGTGAGCCCCGTGTCGTTATTTTTGACTTCCTTTCTTCTTACACTTCCTATAGCCAGAAACCAAGCTCGGTAACTACACCGGACGCCAAGTTCGCTACGGAATCCGCGAATTCAGTATGGCTGCTATCGCGAATGGCCTGGCCGCATATTTCCCGCAGTACCCGTACGACCCTTTCGCTCCGAAGGAGCAACAGTACGCACACGGACAAACCAAAGGAGCGGGAGGTTTCGTCCCAGTCTATTCAACATTCTTCATGTTCATGTCTTATGCCTTGCCGGCGATTCGGATGGCTGCTTTGCAGGGCCTAAGGACGGTGAGTCACCCCCTTTGCTCCGCTTCGACTCCGACTAAACGGGCACTCTCACACAGATCGCTATTGCAACCCACGACTCGATCGGTATTGGCGAGGATGGACCTACTCACCAGCCCATCGCTCTTGCGCAGTTCTTCCGGGCTCTCCCCAATACACGCCTATGGAGACCCGCAGATGCAGAAGAGGTAATGGCTGCTTGGACCGATGCGCTTACTTGGAGCAACGCACACGGTACAAGCGGACCGAGTGTAATCTGTCTGAGTAGGCAGAACGCGCCGCTTCTGGAGAAGTCTGATAGATCGAAGGCGATAGAAAAGGGTGCCTACGTCGTTTGGGGGCAAGAGGCGGCCGCGAAGACGAAGCTAGTGCTCGTTGCCACAGGCTCTGAGGTGTCTAGGGCTATTGACGTTGCTGAGAAGCTGGCTTCTGCTGAATCTCCCCTTCCCTCTGCCGTTCGGGATAGGATACGGGTCGTCTCAGCCCCATGCCTCGACATATTCAATGTTCAACCTCTGGAATACCGGCTCAGTACGATTCCGAGCAACACTGCTCTAGTCGTTTCGTTGGAGCCGTACAGGACATTTGGATGGGAGAGATATGCACATGCAGGGGCGGGGATGACCAGGTTCGGGCACTCAGGACCACAGGCAGGGTTGTATGACTATTTCGGTTTTGGCGTTGGGAACCTGGTAGAAAGGATTGGGAGGTGGGTGAAGTCACGGGCGCAGGGAGACAATTTAAGCATTCCAGGCGTTGGAGAGTGGGAGGAACTGCTAGATGACTGGGTCCCCCGCTAGTGGCATGGATAGGATTTTTGTTGTTGAGATAGCCTTAGTATTCAATAGGGAATGGACCTATTTTCTTTACTCAAAGGTTTCGGCTGCCCGCGTAGTACTGTTGCATTTGCCGTCGTACAAGAATGAACGTCGAACAGTGGGCATCTGATGTCGTCAAAGTCGGCTGACTTCAGAATCAAGGTTCTCGCCCTAGTTTATAATCATGAATGTGTCAAATGCGGAAAAGGTCTCGCGGCTCGCAGATTACCGCTCCACGGAAATTCATCATTATCCGACCTTGTTTTTCCGTCGGCCGGCCCGTTTAGGTTCCAGCTCTTTAGCTATCTTAGCTATCCTCCCATTGACGAGACCGCCATACGCGTGTACATCACTTTGTTTACTTATCTGACCTTGTCGAGTCAGCCGAAGAGCTACATCGCCTTGCACCAAGTTGTATTGTCAGTTGGTGTTAGTTACCTCTCTCCGCTAACGCATGTATCGGGCACATGGTGTAGTTGGTTATCACATCCGCTTAGCATATTATAGCTGATGCGGGGGGTGCTGGGTTCAATTCCCAGTGTGTCCAGTTGACTTTTGTTTTGCTGTACATCGTCTCACAGCCTGTTTCTACCGTCATTTTCGTCAAGATGCTGTAGCCTCAACAATGCTTCTAGGTCCAGATTACTATATTAAAAAGATCAATAGGTACAATACACCGATATACAAGCAGTAAAAAGTGTCCGAATTATCAGTATTCAAAAGGCACGCACTCTATCCTACCATGTATACCACAGCCCAAAAGAAAAACGAACCGAAAGCCCAAAATCGTCCATTATATTATACAAACCCATCGACCGAGATAAGCCAATGGTGACGCCTTCGGCCTCACGCCCATCCACTCTGAGATCCCTGCGCCCCAGCAGTGAATGAGGCAAAACTATACGCCAGGGCCCAATCATCCTCCGACATCCCCTTCAACCCTCCTTCAGATAACGCCCTCACCATCTCCTCACTCAACATCACCATCCCGCTCTCTCCTGCCAATGGACTCTCTCCTGTGGTCCTCTTGACCAATCTCCGGAAAATCGCCATCTCAGCAGGAGACACGAACGTGTCCACACCCTCGTTCAGCCCGCCCCTCCGAGTGGTGGCGGATGCATACCTGTCCACAACTGCCTCGATCCATTTAACTCCCATCCAGTACTGCGATTGTCGGGAGAGGGCTTTTTTGCAGAGTTTGAAGTTACTTATGGCCATTTGGGCGAGAATACTCGTAGATGAATTCAATAATTTGTGTGTATAAGGTGGTTGGGAAGGGGAGTGGGACGCATGGCGCGATGCCGATACAGGAGGATGTAAATCGGATGAGGAGGTAGAGGCTGATACTGAAGTGCCGTTGGAATTGACGCTGACACCCGAAGAAGACGAAGCCAAAACATCTCTCCCCGTTCGAATCCGATGGTCTAGAAGAGCACACAGTTATCATCTGGACGAACTTATCGCCGCCGCAAGAACTCACCTAGGATCCAAGCACTTCCTGCAACGAAAAAACACTGGTTCACGAACGGGCTCGCCAGATACGCGAACGGGTCGACAAGGTCTGCGCTGTTCAGGATATTCGTAATTGCCAAGCACGAATTATTGACAACTGCCAATCGGTCTTGCAGGGATGAGTGTGCGGCATTGACTCGTGGGTGAATGAGGGGTGGCCGGTAGAGCATTATGATGATCGTGTTATACTGCCGGCTTGTCAGCGGAAGTGTTGAAAAGGAGTAAAGAAGGGATGGGGCTCACCCAGAGGTGCAACGCAAGGAACGTCGGACTCGACGAGTGCTTTGCATGTATCCTTAGACTGGATTGCAAGTTTCTTCATTGGTAACTGAGGAAGGCAAAAGAAAAGAGAAGGAACCTACTTTTCAGCATTGAAAACCATCAGCTCCGGTAAAGAATGATATGCGGAAGTAATCGTATTTTCCGCTTCCGCCAAGTTGGTCGCATCGTTGTCCCCGTCCTCGTCATAATTAGCCACCTTCCCACCATCCTCTCTGCCGTCTTTTGCGTGCCCGTTCCCGTGACCCTCCAAATCCACCTTCGGCGGTCTCCAACTTGGCTCGACAACGTTGATTGTTTCTGCCAATGCTCCGTACAACTGGAACATCCTGACGTGGTGCGGAAAGGGAGATGGGGCCTTCGCACTTCCACCTAAACCACCAAGAACATTGATCCCCTCGATTCCATGGCTACTACCTCCTATGTCAGGAGATAAAGGATCTCCAGTCCCAAATTGTTCAGCCTGTTGAACGACAAGGATCTCTTCTTCCGTCGGCAAAAGCGCCTGTGGAAGCAAATTTTTTGAGTTTGTGTGATTGCAACACGGCTTTCACACACACCTTGATCTCCCTATCCTTGACGGTCACGGGCCTCCCCGTTCCAAATGCCAACGTCCTATCCAAGATAAAACAGCTCCACCACAATAATCTATCACTCGCCCTCTCTACTCTCTCTCGGTCATTTACTTTCCCCTTCTGCCCTATGTCCTGGATCTGATGCAAGCCCAGATCCACAGCCATTCTAAGCGCCATCCCCGAATACGTCCACAAGGCGCCTTCGTTATTCAGCCCGAATGAGAAATACGCCAGGAATAACAGCGCTGCCACGGTATTCGATGTTGGGAACCCCAGAAGCGGTACCAAAAGCTGTTTCATCTTCTCCGCAAAGGGTATCCCATATGTGGCAGGCGACTGCGAAGTAGTGTCTCTCGCTTGAGAGCGCATGATCGGGATATCAGAAAACCTGGGTCACAAGGATGTTATTAGTTCGGACGCTCATTAGTAGGGGTAGCCCCCCTGAAAGACGAAATGGAAGATCAAAGAGTAATGCAGAGCGCCCGGGCAGAAGACACTGCCGACGGCGTCATCGAAGTCCGAATAAAAAGAAAACTAACAACCCAGGGAACCCGAGAATACCAAGAAAAAAATACACATACCTCGCACCCAAAGCGCAGACCGCATTTATGATCAAAGGCGCGGTTACTCTCCTTCCCGGATCTGGATGGTCAATATTACTTAACAGCATACCCTCCGTCAAAAACGGGAAATGGCTTCCCATCCGTTCGAAGAACAGCGGTATTAACTTCTGCAAGACTATCGGTTTTGGTATGTCTGAGGACGGGTCGTAAGGCGAATCGCTCGAAGTCACGGTCAACGTGGTCGCGTGAAGATTGTCGGCATTGTCAGGGAAGTAAGCCGGCGTGCGAGTATAATAGATCGGTTCAAACGAAAATGAACTGCTGAGGTTGGAGGTGAAAATGTCCGGGATAGAATTTGAAGTTGATGAGGAGGTGACGGTGGGAGAAGTCAAGGAATCGGGAGGGGAGGGACTCGGACATCGTGAGCCAGGTATGGGAGCTCGGAATGCAATTGAAATTCGTTCTAATCCAGGCTGAGTTGAGATGAAAGGGAAGAGTTGAATACGATAAGATAGAATGGAAACAGAGGAATACACACCTGAATGGCGGTCGGTCCGAACGGTCTGGGTAAATAATCAATTGTTTTGTTCGGTTGCATCCATAGGAATTCCGAGTACCCACGCACCTGTTATAGTGTAACACCATCGGCGGTTCATTCGTCGACGTGTTCGTATTCAAAGGTCCCAACGACCGTGCCGGATGGCTGTAGTCCATTGGTACATCCATTCCGTCATTGCCGATACCAGCAGCTGGCCCGTCCATTCCGGTGTCGCGCATACCGACACCCTGAACCGCGGGATGATGATGACTCCGACTAGCACTCGCAGTTGTGCTGGAGCCTCCCCATTGTGAATGTGGACCTGGAAGTGCTGCAGCAAGTAGCACGTCTAGTGGAGACTGTCCGTGTAGGTGTGTGTGATGTGGTGGTGGTGACGGTGGCCGTCCCGGATGAATGATACCATGCGGCCCAAGTGGCCCAGAACGCGAACTTGAGGAAGGATGTGAAAGTGAATGAGAGTGCGATGATATAGCCGGATGAGTAAAAGGCTGGGGTGAGCTTGTACTACGTCGGTCCATCATGGAGCTCGTAGAATGAGTGTGTCGAGGACGATGTGCTGACGGTGTGTGGTATAGGTCTGCTCCGTTCAACGGATGACCGTGTGCATTTCCATTAGATGCGGATAATAAGGATACTTCGCCAGGCCCGCCTAATCCATAGACTGGTCCTGAAGCCCTCTTTGAGTGTTGATAATAGTGACTATCTTCGTCATCTTCTGCAGCCGGTGTCCCTCTACCACCACCCTGAGGTCGATCAGAATCTGTACCTCCTCCACCGGAGGAATGTTTCCTCGCCCTCGTTGCATTTGACATCTTCTTGTGTTTTCGCCCGTCTAGTTCAGGATCCGGCCATTCACATGGTGAACCCGCGCTCTCGCAGGTTGAGCAGACCGGTTTTTTGCCGTCGCATTTGCCCTTTTTTTCTGCATAAAGGAAAGAGAAAAAGCGAGTGTTTCAGGCTAGACAGCGATGAGCAGAAGTAAAATACATACGGCGGCAGCGATGACACGCTAGAGTGATTCTTTTCCGCTTCAAGCTGACGTTGGGAGTTGTCGAAGCACTTGTCAGCGCTGTGTTGGATGTTGCTGATGCGCTTGTCGGTTGATTGGACGTTGGAGGAGAGCCATGATTATGAACAGCACTGTGTTTGAGATGAATATCGTCTGAGCTTGCAGAGGAAGGACCGGGAGTTGTAGGCATAATGAGCCAAGGACCTCAGGATGTTAAGGATGATTGTGGGGTTGGGCAGACACACTTCCGATGCCGTCTTCCGGTTCCGGGACACGGACTCGGAAATCCAGCGGCAGCCGTCAGCAAGCCGCCATCACATGACATTCAGACTTCATACAAACGGTTCTCAAGTTCAGTAACTGACAGAATCTATGGCGAATACAAGAGTACATGGACATGGATATTCCCGGACGAGACCATCTTTGAGAAAATATCCTCATGGCGCAAGAAAAAAATGCGACTTCGCGCAGTTTCCTGCCGACACTTCCTTGGCCTTGCTTTGCCTCCCTGTAACCCTGTGTTGGTTGACATTCTCGCTAGTAATTTTCCCAAATACCCGCCGGATTCTCATGCATCTCCCGTTCTCTGCTCGGGCTGCATCAGAGCGACTGCGTATCGATCGAGATCGCCCCCAGCGAAGGAATGCCTGAGATGGCTTGTTTCCACGCGTATTGTGGACTGCTTTAGACTTCGAAAACACCCTACCAGAAATTCAGGCCGACTGACAAACTGCTTAGCGAGATTCTTACCTCATTGAGATCGTTTGAGTGTAGTGTTTTCGTCCAAATAGTCTATCCTGCCTCCTCGAAATTGACGAGCATCATCTGTTTCGCTAGCGGGATTACTCTCGCAGCAACGCGCACGTCGCTTGCCACCGTTCGTGAATAATGTTAGTCTGTCGACACGAGGCTACAGTAGCGCGGGTGGGCCACGGCCCGCGCGTCCTGCCCGTGCCATATTGGAGGATGTGCCAGGCAGACACAAGTACTATAGGCGAGAATGTTTGGCACATCCCATGTACAAGGGATTGACAGAGCTCATCGCGCTTA